CAGACATTGATGTTTTCTTCCTTTCTTTCTCTTTCCCTTCTCCTCTCTAAAAATAAATAAATGGAATTCAGAAATAAATGAATGGGTCTGTATCAAATTTAAAAGTTTCTTCACAGCAAAAGAAACCACCAACAGAACAAAAAGTAACCAACCAAATGGGAGATGATATTTGCAAATAAAGGGCCAATATCCAAAACATATAAAGAACACATACAATTCAAAACCAAACAAATAAACAATCCAATTAAAAAAATGGGCTGAAGACCAGAACAGACACTTCTCCCAAGAAAATATACACATGTCCAGCAGATATATGAAAAGATATTTAACTTTACTAGCTATTAAGTAAATACAAATGAAAACTACAATGAGATACCAGCTCACACCTATTAGAATGACTATTATCAACAAGACAGACAATAACAAGTGTTGGAGATGATGTGGGAATAAAGGACCCCTCATTCACTGCTGGTGGGAATGTAGACTGGGACAGCCACTGTGGACAACATGACGGTGTTTCCTCAAAAAATTAAGAGTAGAGTATGACCCAGCAATCCCTCTTTTGCATTTCTACCTGAAAAACTGAAAAAAATTATTCAGAAAGATATATGCACTCCTATGCTCATTGCAGCATTATTCATGGTGGCCAAGACATGGACACAACCTACACGTCCTGTGATAGAAGACTGGACAAAGAAGATGGGGTATGTATATACTACAGAATGCTACTGAGCCATAAGAAAAGATGCAATACTGTCATTTTTGACAACATGGATGATCCTTGAGAATATTATGCTAAATGAAAAGTCAGTCAGAAAAAGCTAAAAACTGTATGAATTTATTCATATATGGAATATAAAACTGCAACTTATAGACACAGACTATTATAGAGCCCTTCCCTCTTATATGGTGGTTACAAGAGGGAAGGCTTGTGGGGGGGCTAGTAATGCATAAAGGTGGATTAATATATGGTGGTGGAAGATGATTTGACTTTGGGTGGTGAGCACACAATGCAATATACAGATCATGTATCACAGAAATATACACTTAAAACCTATATGACCCTATTAGTCAGCATCACTTCAGTAAGTTTAATGAAAAAGAAACAAACCCCTTCCAAAATATAACTTTAATAACCTCAATTTTTCTATAAATCGAAATGGCTCTAAAAATGTCTAATAAAAATAAAACATAATTTGGTAAGTGAAGAAAAAACAAAAATAGACCAATATCACTTGTAGTTCTATATAACATATACTACAAATTCTTTTTTTGTTGTTTTTAGAAAAATATTTTATTCCCTGTAAAATTTTGAAATATGTTTCCCTACTCTTTCCTACCCTTGCATCCATGGTCTTATCAGAACTATAAAGAAATGACAAATTGCAGGGTTCAGATTGTGACTATTTAGATAAATTTGGCCAGTTGGTGTAACTTCTTCAGAAAGTGTAATACTCTTATAGCAATAAGCAGACAGGTAAAGACTTTTGCACCCTTGCTTTTTAGGTGGCTAAAACCCCTTTAGTATTTTGAATTGTTTACTTTTCTAATTCAAATACAAATTAAATTTTCTTTCTTTTTTAAAAATATATTTTACTGATTATGCTATTACAGTTGTCCCATTTTCCCTCCTTCACTCCCCTCCACCCTGCACACCCTCCCACATTGTCCCCTTTTAGTTCATGTCCATGTGTCATACATATAAGTTCTTTAGTTTCTACATTTCCCATACTATTCTTACCCTCCCTCTGTCTATTTTCTACCTACCATCTATGCTACTTATTCTCTGGACCTTTTTCCCTCCTCTCTTTTCCTTCCACTCCCCTGTTGCTAATCCTCCATGTGATCTCCATTTCTGTGGTTCTGTTCCTATTCTACTTGTTTGCTTAGTTTCTTTGTTTTTGTTTTAGGCGTGGTTGTTAATAATTGTGAGTTTGCTGTCATTTTACTGTACATGTTTTTTATCTTCTTTTTCTTAAATAAGTCCCTTTAATATTTCATATATTAAGGGTTTGGTGATGATGAACTCCTTGAACTTGACCTTATCTGAGGAGCACTTTATCTGCCCTTCCATTCTAAATGAAAGCTTTGCTGGATAGAGCAATCTTGGATGTAGGTCCTTGCCTTTCATGACTTCAAGTACTTCTTTCCAGCCCCTTCTTGCCTTCAAGGCCTCTTTTGAGAAATCAGCTGACAGTCTGATGGGAACTCCTTTGTAAGTGACTGTCCCCTTATCTCTTGCTGCTTCTAGAATTCTCTCCTTCATTTTAATCTTGGCTAATGTAATGATGATGTGCCTTGGTGTATTCCTCCTTGGGTCCAACTTCTTTGGGACTCTCTGAGCTTCCTGGACTTCCTGGAAGTCTATTTCCTTTGCCAGATTGGGGAAGTTCTCCTTTATTATTTTTTCAGATAACCTTTCCACTGGTTGCTCTTCCTCTTCTCCTTCTGGCACCCCTATAATTCAGATGTCAGAATGTTTAAAGATGTCCTAGAGGTTCCTAAGCCTCTCCTCATTATTTTGAATTCTTGATTCTTTATTCTTTTCTGTTTGGATGTTTTTTTTTTCTGGTCCACTCCATTGATTTGAGTCCCAGTTTCCTTGCCATCACTATTGGTTCCCTGTATATTTTCCATTATTTCACTTAGCATAGCCTTTGTTTTTTCCATCTAATTTGCAACCAAAATCAACCAATTCTGTGAGTATCCGGATCACCAGTGCTTTGAACTGTGCATCTGATAGGTTGGCTACCTCTTTGTCGCTTAGTTGTATTTTTAATGGAGCTTTGATCTGTTCTTTCGTTTGGGCCATTTTTTTTTGTCTTGCCATGCCTGTTATGTAGTGAGGGGTGAAGCTTTAGGCGTTCACCAGGGTGGGGCAATCCAGTCTTTGTATTGTGACACTGTATATAGGGTATGGGTCCGAGAGGGAATAATGGCACTTTCTCTACTCTCTGCGAGATTTCAGACCCTTCCACTGCTTCCCCCAAGCAAACTGGGCCTTTCTGGTGCTGATTCCTATGTGGGTGGGTTTGTGTCTGTTCTAGGACCCTGTGGGTCTGTCCAATAAACTCTTCTGTGAGGCTGGAAGTCTCTCCCTGCACCTCAACTTCCAGAGGTATTTTGAATTGGTCTTTTGAGTCTTTATTTCCCCATGCTGGGACCCTGGGTTGTGAGGTCCCTCTCACTCCCCAGTTTTGTCTGATTAATCTGCGTGCGGATGTGGGACCACCTGGTCCACCAGCTGCCTTGTGTGCTGTGTCCAAAATCTGCAGCCTCTCTGGGTCTACCTTGCAGACCCAGGGTCTGCCAGCCACTGCTTTTTTTTTTGCCGTGAGTCCTCTCCACTCAGCCGCCCAACTTTGCTCCCCCTACCAGTCTGGTGAATGTGTCTACTTTAACTCCTTGATTGTCAGACTTCCATACAGTTCAATGTTTTGTTGGTATTGGTTGTTTTTTTGTTTCTAAATTTTTGTTGTTCTTATTTTGGTTGTACGATGAGGCACAGTGTGTCTACCTACACCTCTATCTTGGCCGGAAGTCCCATATACTATGAATTCTTTAAAAAAAAATTCTGAATACCTCATCAGCTATAATAATTGTTATAGGCAAATCAAGGTAGATGTTGCAGAAATACAAGACTAATGGCACATTCTTCAGGGCAGGTAAGGTTTGAGTTTAGTAGTGTTACCTTACTCAAAGGGAGTGAGATTAACTCAGAAAATATACAAAGATAAATGGGAGTCTATCTCCTCTAAAATGTTTAAGGAAAAGTGTGAGGTAAAAGAGACTAGAAAAATTGTCAGAAGTCAAAAGGTAATTTAGTGAAGAAAGGTGGTATGGAAAAGGGAACCCTAGTGCACTGTTGGTGGGAATGCAGACTGGTACAGTCACAGTGGAAGACAGTATGGAGTTTCCTCAGAAAATTAAAAATGGAACTGCCTTTTGACCCAGCAATACCACTGCTTGGATTATATACTAAGAATCCTGAAACACCAATGCAAAAGAACCTATGCACCCCAATGTTCATAGCAGCACAATTTACAATGGCAAGTACTGGAAGCAGCCTAAGTGCCCATCAGTAAATGAGTGGATCGAAAACTATAGTACATTTACACAATGGAATACTACGCAGCAGAAAGAAAGAAGGAGCTCCTACCCTTTGCAACAGCATGGATGGAACTGGAGAGCATTATGCTAAGTGAAATAAGCCAGATAATAAAAGACAAATACCATACAATCTCACCTATAAGTCGAACCTAATCAACAAAACCAACAAACAAGCAAAATACAACCAGAGACATTGAAATTAAGAACAAAATGACAGAAACCAGAGAGGAGTGGGGAGAGGGATAATAGGGGAAGGGCCTTCAAGGAACATGTATAAAGGACACATGGACAAAGCCAAAGGGGGTAGGTTTGAGAGTGGGAGGTGGGGATGGGTTTTGGTGGGCTGAAAAAGGAGACAACTGTACTTGAACTACAATTAAAAAAAAAGAAAGAAGAGTGGGGTGGAATGAATATGTACATTCTGAGCTAAGTACATTTTTCTTTTAAAGTATCCATTGTAAATTTATTATGCAGTAGGAAGCTCAACTTCACCAACATCATAGTAAAAAGATATGTTCATAGCAGAACAGGTTACAAAACATATTTTCATTTAAGTGTGTTTAGTCAGTTCATAACCTTTTATAAAAGTTATACATCTTTTTTCTCTCAACATCTTCATTACGTTTATAAGTATACAATTTACACAGTGCTTCATCAAATTTTTTCTAATATTTCTTATTTGCCAGGTGTGAAAGCAAATACTTCAGCCAGGGCATTGACTCATATCAATCACAACTATGCTCAGTTTTAAACAGAGTAGTCATTGGAGTCTACTTTTGGGATAAAACAGTAAACATCAAATTTTATATTTCATGGATTTTCTAAAAGTTCAATTTTTTTAAAGAAATAGCTAATACTTTACTTCTAAAGTTTATTTATTTTTTATTTACCTGATCTTCACTTGGAACATAGCGAACAAAAAATCCCAAAATTGTTCCTACCAGCACACCAATAAGTATATTCCGAAAAGAGGCTGCAACATTATTAAGTATATCACCTGTAAGGACACACATAAAGAAAACATTTTATAGAGAAGGATGTTTACATACCCAACACATCAGAAAATCAAAGCTTGGTGATTCATGAAAAAAAGTATGTATTTTATTTTAAAAATATACAAAAATGAACCATTAATATTAACAAATATAAAAACATAAGCAGATCTATTTGTTTTTTTAAAGATTTTATTCACTTGCTTTTAGAGGGGGGAGTGGAAGGAGAAAGAGAGGGAGAGAAACATCAATGTGAGAGAGAAACATCAATTGGTTGCCTGTAACATATGCCTGACCAAACCCATGACCCAGGCATGTACCCTGACTGGGAATTGAACCAGTGACCTTTTGCTTTGGAAAAATATGCCCAACTATCTGAGACACACTGCTTAGGGTTACACAAATCTATTTGATAAATTACACATATACTCTTAAGTAATTTATTATATACAGTTTATTGAAAATATTTATTGAATAAATAGGCCAGAAAACAAAGACCTAATAAGCTACAATGAGCTCCCCTTATACACCCTACCTAAGAGATCAGGTGAAGTAGAAGGATGGCCAGAGATTGACAAAGAAGCACTTCTGGCACCTAGCACAAGGCTGATAATGTTATTCTCTGATGTGCTATATGACAAAGAAAAAATTACTTAAATATTAAAAAACAATTTAACAATAACGACATAAAGAAAAGGTTTATTCCAGTGTTAATCTTGGGACTATTCAAGGGTCAATTGAGTTTTCAATATATTTTATGCTACCATGTCTGTACTTAATTATAATAATTTTAAAAAAATGATACTGGGTCACAGAAAGTTCAGTTATGCTTTGTGTGTTTAGATCAGTGGAGCATGTAAATATATATAAAGAACTAGAGGGCGAAAACAACAAGATGGTGGAATAGAAAGCCTCAGAATTTCAATCCCCCACAGAGACACCAATTTAACAACAATATATAGTCCAAAAGCCTTTATGAAACTCTACAAGTCAGTTGATAACTTGTAGCAAAGGAAACAACTTATTATGTATGTCAAGGGAGCTCCTATTAGATTATCAAAGATTTTCACAGCAGAAAATTTATAGGCCAGAAGGGGGTAGGATTATATATTCAAAGTGTTGAAAGAAAAAGGAATTGCTAACTGAAAACACTATTCTACAAAACTGTCATCAAAGATGGAGAAATTAAGACTTCCCCAGATAAACAAAAGCTAAGCTAAGGAAGTTCATTAACCCCAAACCTGCCTTCAAAAGAAGAGGAGGAGGAAGAAGGAGGAGGAGGAGGAGGAAGAAGAAGAAGAAGAAGAAGAAGAAGGAGGAGGAGGAGGAGGAGGAGGAGGAGGAGAGGAAGAAGAAATGGAAAGGGACTTCTTCAAGTGGAAATAAAAGGACATTAGACAGCAGCACAAAAGCATACACATAAAAACTATAAACCTCTGGCAAAGGTACATATATAGATGAATGAAAAATCTTGTGTACTGGAATGGTGGTGAGTTCATCCTTTTCATTTTATGATAGAATTTAATATAAAAGCATAAAAATAACAGTAACTATAACCTAGGTAATGAATGAATAGATAATATAAAAGATGAAATTTGATATATTAATAACCTTAAGTGGGGAAGGTGAGTTGTAGAAGAGTAGTTTCTCTGTGTGATTGATGTTATTATTTTGAAATAGACTGTTGCAATGATAAGGATGGAAACAGATATTCCATGCAAATGGAAACCAAAAGGGAGCAAGGGTGGTCATAGTCATATCAGGCAAACTAGACTTCAAGTCAAATACTGTCAAAAAAGATGCAGAAGGGTACCTCCACAAAATGGAGGCAAAAGCAGATATGTTTCACCTCCTCAGGCAATCAAAAGAAGGGTAAGAACCAATTTAAAAACAGAAAACAACCAGAACTGCCAGAAAATCAAACTGTACAGAAGTCTGACAACCAAGGAGTTAAAAAAGAAACATTCATTCAGATTTGTAGGAGGGGTGGAGACAGAAAGCAGGGGCAGCTAGGACACGTGACAAGGCACCAGCTGGCTGAGTGGGCAAATGCGGTGGCAGCCGGCATACTGGGATACATCACATTAGCATGCAGATAAGCTGGGAGGAACAACTGGGGAGTTAGACAGACCATAAAACCCAGGGTTTCAGAGCGGGAAAACAAAAGCCTCAAAACCTCTGGCTGTAGAAATCTGGTGGGGGGTGGTTGGCAGTGGGAGGAACTCCCAGCCTCACAAGAGAGGCTGTTGGAGTGGCCCACAGGATTCTAGAATGTACACAAGCCCACTCACCTGGGAATCAGCATCTCAAAGGGCACGATCCATTTGTAGGAAGCAAGGGAAGTGACTGAAAGCTGGGCAAGAGTCAAACAAGTGGCATTGTTTCCTCTCTGACCCCTCCTCCACATACAGTGCCACAACAGAACAAAGTGGGTTACCCCACACTGGTGAATAACTAAGGCTCTGCCCCTTATAACATGACAGGTGCACCAGAAATATGACCCAATGAAAAAACAGATTAAAACTTCAGAAAAAGAACTAAGCAATGAGGAGATAGCCAACCTATCAGATGCAGAGTTCAAAATACTGGTAATCAGAATGCTCACAGAAATTATTGAGTATGGACACAAAATAAAGAAAGAAGTGAAGACTATACAAAGTGAAATAAAAAAAACATACAGAGAACCAAGAGTGAAGGGAAGAAAAAAGGGACTCAGAACAACAATTTGGAACAAAAGGAAGAAATAAACATTCAATAGGGACAGAATGAAAAAAAAAACACACACCAAGAATCCAAAAAGATGAGAACAGGCTAGGGAACCTCTGGGACAACTTTAAATGTTCCAACATCAGAATCACAGGGGTGCCAGAAGGAGGAGAGGAAGAGTAAGAAATTGAAAGCTTATTTGAAAAAATAATGAAAGAAAACTTCCCTAATCTAGCAAAGGAAATAGACATCCAAATTCAGGAGCTCAGAGAGTCCCAAAGAAGTTCGAACCAAGGAAACACACACCAAGGGACATCATAATTACATTACCCAAGATTAAAATCAAGGAGAGAACCTTAAAAACAGCAAGAGGAATAAAAAGAGTTAATTAACTACAAAGGAGTTCTCATAAGACTACCAGCTGATTTCTCAAAAGAAGCCTTGCAGGCAAGAAGAAGCTGTAAAGAAATATTCCAAGTCGTAAAAAACAAGGACCTACAATCTTAATTACTCTATCCAGCAAAGCTATCATTTAGAATGGAAGGGCAGATAAAGTGCTTCCCAGATAAGGTCAAGTGAAAGAAATTCATCATCACTCAAACCTTATTATATAAAATGTTAAAGGGACTTATTGAAGAAACAGAAAAAGATAAAAAATATTAACAGTAAAATGAAAACAAATTCACAATTATCAACAACAGAATCTGAGAACAAAAACAAACTAAGCAAACAACTAGAACAAGAATAGAATCACAGAAATGGAGATCACATGGAGGGTTAACAGTGGGGGTGAAGAGAAGGGAGAATGGGGGAAAAGGTACAGGGAATAAAGCATAACTGGTAGATGTAAAATAGACAGGAGGAGGTTAAGAATGGTATAGGAACTGGAGAAGCCAAAGAACTTATATACATTACCCATGGACATGAACTAAGGGAGGGTGGGTGTAGGGCAGAAGGGGATAAAGGAGAAAAAATGGGACAAGTGTAATAGCACATCAATAAAATATGCTTTAAAAACAGAGATACAAAAGGACATTCTATAATGATAAAAGGGCCAATTGACCAGGAATATAAAATTAGATCTTGGTACCTAGTATATTCTAAAATACATGCACATTGAAGATCTAATGTATAAAATACTGGGTTGGCCAAAAACTCTGTATGGTATTTTTTTTGTAAAATAAAAGACACATTTTTCATTTTCACCAATAACTTGAATGATTTTGGATATTTTGAGTATGTTGGCTATCTTCCTCATGGTATAACTTGATTGTTCCCAATTAATGTCTCAGTTTGATCCCTTTCAACTTCAATGGCTCTACCCAACCATCAGTCATTGTCCAGCATGAAATCTCCAGCACAAAACTTTGAAAGGCACTTTTGACACATTCAATCAGTCACAAAACCCTTTCCATACACTACACAAATCTTTCTTGTGTGTGTTTCAGTTGCATTTTTACTCTTCTTGAAACAATAAAGCATAATATACTAAAAATGTTGCATATTTTCTCCCATCTTCAGTATTAAAATGGTTACGCAAAAATTCACCAAATTTAATGTTTTTAAAAATGCACTCTGACATGACAGCTGTCACAATACAATCTAACAAAATTATTTTGAATGAAGGTAAAGGCAACTTAGTGCTACTAGAGCCATCTTCTGAAAAAAAAAACTAATTTTTTTTGGCCAACTCTATAAAATCTTTTACAGTCCTAAAATTTGAAATGACAGTATACATAGTCATGTAATAAGAGGATTTTTTTTAGCATATGGCTGCTTGGTTTTTCACTTTTTATGTGTTCCTCAAATTAGGTTTGGTTTCTTGTAGAATGTGCCCATAACATCTTATACGGTGTAAAATTGATCACATTTGTTTAATATAAACTCCGTGAGTACATGGGCCGCATTGTCTTTTCTGTCTGCTGTGTTGACAGGCAATATCAAATAGTATTTAAAAGTGTGGGTTTGGGCCAGATTTGTATCTTGGCTCCCCTACTTATTGAATTTGTGACTTTGGACTCTTCCTCAGTTTCCTTATCTGTAAAAGGAGCGTAGCACTATTGTGACTATTAAATTAGTGGAAACATTTATGAAACTTAGAACAAGTACTAAGCAATTGGTAAATGATATGTTGTTCAGTGTTTGGCACAGTAGCTGGCACAATGAAAGAGAAGCACAAATTTTTTTTAACGAATACCTAATACCAGTAATGAAGAAAATATCACCAGACTTGTCGATAAAAAGTTTAGAACTTCTGGCCCTGACTGGTGTGGCTCAGTGGGCTGGGTATCATCATGCAAACCTAAAGGTCACTGGTTCGACCCATGTCAGGGCACATATCTGGTTTCTGGGCCCGGTCCCCTGTTGGGGCACGTGTGAGAGGCAACTGATTGATGTGTCTCTCACACATGGATGTTTCTCTGTCTCTCTTTCTCCTTCCTTTTTCCTCTCTCTAAAAATAAATAAATAAAAGCTTAAAAAATTTAGAACTTTTGAATGACAAAAACAAGTTCTTGTGAGGTTAAAAGTCTAATCAAAAGTGGGAAAAACTGCCCTGGTTGGGTGACTCAGTTGTAAAGGTTGCTGGTTGGATCCCCAGTTACAGGAGGCAACCGATCAATGTTTCTCTCTCACATCCATGTTTCTCTCTTTTTCTCCCTCTCCCTTCCTCTCTCTTGAAAACCAATAAACATACTCTCAGGTGATGATAAAAAAAATGGGGGAAACTAAAGAATATAAAACGAAGGGTTATCATTCTTAATTTTATGAAGAATCTTGACAAATGAAAAATAACAAAAAGACACTCCTATAATATGAAGCAAAATATCTCAAGAAAAGCAATTTAGAAGACATGCTAAAATGCCAATGACCGATAAACACAAACATTTGTTTAATATCAGTAGTAGTGAAAATACTTCATTTAAAGAGACCTCACTTTACCTACCAAATTAGCAAAGGTGAAAAAAGACAATAGCTAGTTTTGAAAAGGGTGAAGAGAAAGTGCCAAGCTTGGGCAATGTAGTAGGATATACAATTGTGGTAATATGCTTCAAAAGCTCATAACTTTATATACTTTTAGTTCAACAATGACATTTTTAAGGTTAAGAAAATATTAAATTTATGTACAACTATATAGCTATAAGCTGTTCCATCAAGTATTATTTTAACAAAAAATATTGGAGTCAACTTCAGTTTTCAATGAGTAATTAAGATGCAGCCACTGGGATGGGAGAAATAGACAGAAAACTGTACTTGAAAAATAATTAAATAATAAAAAAAGATGCGGCCAATTTAATTCTATGCCACCATTAAAATATCACATAAATATACTCACTGGATAGAAATATGTTTGCTATATATAGTTAAATGCAAAACAACTCAGGTCATAAGCAAGTATGGTCAATATTCAATAATTGTATAAGAATATTTGGAGAGAGAAAGAGAGAGAGTCTATGTACACTCACATGAAAAGATTAAGAATTGTTATTTCTGGGATATGACTATTGCAAATTTTATTTTTACCTTTTCCCTTTTTAAAAATGTATATTTTAGGATTTCAAGAGAAACTTAAAATATTTCAGTGCTTTAATAATACAGGAGACTGGATTTCCAACATTTCAGGTAACTAAAGGATTACTAAATGTGGAAATTTTTACTTTCACAATTTCTGTAGAGTGACATTCAAGACCAAATAGGACCCTGAGGAAGAGGGGCCCATGTATGCAAAGGCCTAGAAGCAATAGTGTATGACAAAAGTTTAACAACTGTCTCTCTGTGGAGAGGCCAGAATGCCCTACTTTTTGCCTGTTTCCTTGATATGAATACTCCCACCATGACAGACTTTAAGCTATCAACATGACAGCTGAGGACAAGAAAAGGGCCACGTACCAAACCTAACGAGCTCAGGGGAGACCTGCATGGCAACCTCACAAACTCAGAGACCGAAAGTAACCACATAGGCTGGTCTGGAACTAAAACTTCCTAACCAAAAGCAAGTCTTAGCAGGTAGTCATGCCCTGGGTCAGTATCTTCCTCGACAGTGGTCAGCCACACTGAGTCTGTCTCTTGTCTTTTTGCATCTGTGACAATAGAACTTTAAAGTGTCTGAGTAATTCCCCTTTTTCCCACCCACTCAAAGCACAATCTTTGATGAGAGCATGAGACCCCAGGCCCCCTCATTGTTATCTTGTTGCCCAAATACCATCTCTGTGCTATAAATGTTAATAGTCAACTATCCTATACCTACCAGTGAAAAAGAAGTATGTGTCTCTCCATTTTACTTTTCATCCAGTCTCATTTTACATTGCTTCCTCGCACCTCTCTAGTCAACCACCAACGGGGATTTCATGTAACCCTGTTATGTCTCCTCTTTTGATGATAATGTACAAAGCCAACTGCAAAACTGTCATTTTTGAGAGCATTTTCTCAATCCATTGAGATTTCATTTCTCTGCAATTGTCATCATTTTGGCTCAAATAAACTCATAAGAATTCTCAAATAAATATTGCCTTGGGATTCAGAACTGGTGCAGGATCCTGTCCCACCACCACTACCAAAAGGCACACGGTTGCCTGTACTCTCTATGTTTAAGTTATCTTAATAATAAAGCCACCATTCATTTATGATGACCAAAAGATACATTTCGAAAATAGCTATTGAATAGATTAGTAGTAGTGGTAGTTTACTACTTAAAACTTACCATTGAATAGTACATTTTAAAAATTACTATTAAAATTTTACCATTGAAAACTGTGATAAAATTCCAAAGCAACATGAGCAGATAAATGGTAATAAAATGGCTTTCAAATTAATAGGAGTATATGGCTACTAAAATGAAATAATTTCTGTGATGTAGTGGTTTCTTAACCCATTGAAATTTCCATCCTGGTCTAGAATGAGCTTTTTATGGTGAATAAAAAGCTGCTAAGTGTAAAAAAGTCTTTGTTAATAAATGAAGGAAAGCTATAAACCTCACTCAAAGAACTAAGAACAATAACAACATCCCTGGCTGGCATAGCTCAGTGGATTGAGCACGGGTCTGTGAAGCAAAGGGTTGCAGGTTTGATTCCCAACCAGGGTGCATGCCTGGGTTGCAGGCCAGGTCCCCAGTACAGGACACATGAGAGGCAACCACACATTGATGTTTCTCTCCCACTTTCTCCTTCTTTTCCCATCTCTCTAAAAATAAACAAATAGATAAATAAAATGTTTTTAAAAAGAACAAAAGCTGTAAGTCATGTGGCAGTGGTTGCATTTTCTTCTTTACCTGTGGAGAAGACTATGCTCATACAGGTGCTGAATCCAGTGATAGCCAAGATGTCGTCCAAACTGCTGGCAGCTACGAGCAGGGTTGGAATGCCCTTCTCCACACCATAGCCATTTTCTTGCAAGAGTAGCATGGAAGGCACGACAACAGCAGGAGAGACAGCACCTAGTACAAAACTGAGAGGAAGGCTTTGAAAATCGATTTTAAAACATCCATTTAACCAAATGGTTCAATTTTTATTAGAATTTACAACAAAAATATTCATCTCTGCAACAACTTCAAGGGTAAAAATTCTGCTTTTGAGTGAATGTCATTTGACAGTGGCAAAAGTGCCCCCTCACCCAGCCCCAGCAACTGTCATGCTGTTTTCTGTTAACATGATTTTAACTACTCTAAACATATCACTAAAATAAAGTAGTATTTGTCCCGGCTTATTTCACTCAGCATAATGTCATCAAGGTTCATCCATGTTGTAGGATTCTAAAAGATTTCTCTTTTTACAACTGAATAATATTCCACTGTAATGTATATACCACACTTTCTTTATCCATTCATCTGTCAATGGATATTTGGCCTATTTTTGCCTTTTAGCCATCTCAAATAATGCTGCAACAACTCTTTGAGGTCCTACTTTCATTTCTTTTGGGTATATACTCAGAGGTAGGATTACTGATTTTATGGTAGTTCTGTTTTGTGTTTTTGAGGAACTTCTAAACTGTTTTCCAAATTCCATTCCTAACAGCAGTATGCAAGGGTTTCTCCATATCTGTGCCAACAATTATTTTCTGTTTTTTCAATAGTGACCACCGTAGTGATATCTATTTATGGTTTTGGTTTGCATTTCTCTAATGATTACAAATGTTGAGCACTTTTATAAACTTGTTGGACACTTGTATATCTTGTTTGGAAAATGTGTATTAAAGTCATTTGCCATTATTTAGTCAAGTGTTTTTGTTGTTGTTGTGAGTTGTAGGAGTTCTTCAAATATTCTGAATATTGATTTTTTTTCAGATACATGTTTTGTAAGCATTTCCTCCCATTTCATATGTTACCTATTGTCTGTGCATTTCACTTGCTGTGGAGAAGTTTTCAAGTTTGATGAAGCCCAGTCTATCTACAAGGGGGACCCCCAAAAGCTGCAATTATCTTCTGGTGGGCAGGCCCCTTGCAGTACAGGCTTCCCCCACTAGGTGAGTTTTAGGAGCCCATCTGTATCAGTGTACCAGCCGGTGATTGTTGTGAGAGACTGTGCTGAGCTTCAGTTTAAAAAAACAAAAAAAACCCCAAACCCTTTTTTAACGCACTTGTCCACTTCATGATGGGTGATTTATGAGCACACCTGCCCACACCACGATAAGTGTTCAGTAGTTTTTTATCAAGAATGGCATGACCTTCCTGCCTTCTCTCCTTATTCATCTGATCTTGCCCCAAGCAACTATTTTCATTGCCCTGACAAAAAAGTCCTCAAAGGGAAACATTTTGTTGATGTGGGAAAGTTAAAACAAAAACTGGCAGAAGTTCTAAAAGGCATCAAAATCGATGAGTTCAAAACTCTTTTAAGCCATGGAAGAAAATGTCTTGATAGGTATATTGCACCCAATGAAGAGTATTTTGAAGGTGACTGAAGTTTAAAAATTTAAGAATAAATACAGTTTTTTATAAGTAAATTACCTTTTTTGGGTCTTCCCTCATATTTTTGCTTTGGTTGCCTGTGCTTTCAGTGTCATAGCCAAGAAATCACTGGCAAATTCAATGTCATGAAGCTTTTACGTGTGGTTTTTGGGGTACAGTATTCTTGGTTGGCAGGGTTTTTTCCCAGCATTTTGAATTTTTCCAGTCAATTCTGGCCTACAAGGTTTATGCTGAGAAATCCAATTATTACCTTGCGAGAACTCTTGGTTTTCTTCTGCTGCTTTAAGATTATTTTTGTGACTTTTGATAGTTTGAGTATAGTGTGTCTCACTGTAGGTCTTTTTGATTTTACTCAAGTGGTAGTTCTGAGAGCTTCTTAAATTTGTGTGTCCATTTCATTTATAAATTTGGTAACTTTGGCCATTATTTCTTCAAATAGACTTTTTGACCATGTCTCTGTCTTCTTCTAGAACTCCCATAATGGGTAGATTGTACTAGTAATGGTATTCCATAAGTGCCTTAGGACCTCTTCATTTTCCTTTGTTTTTCTTTTGTTCCTCTGATTTCAACTGACCTTGTCATTGAGTTTACTAACTCTTCCTTATGATTAATCCAGTATGTTACTAATCTTCTGTAGTAATTTCTTTCTAATTTTGTTACTATATACTACAGCTCAATAATTTATTTATTTTTTATAGTTTCCATATCTTTCTTGGTAATCTCATTTTGTTCATTCATTACTTTCATGATTTCTTTTAGATGTCTGTGTTCTTATTTAGTTCATTGAGCATTTTAATGATGTTACTTTGAATTATTTGTTGGATAATTCACATATTTCTTTGGTGTAGGGTTGGTTTCTGGAGTTTTTGTTGTTCCTTTGACTGAGCCATAATTCCTACTTATTCATATGCTTTGCTACATTTTGTTGAAATTTGCATATTAAAAAAAACCCAGCACTGGCTGGTGTAGCTCAGTGGATTGAGCGCGGGCCTGCAAACTAGACAATCACGGTTCGATTCCCAGTCAGGGCACATATTGGGGTTGCAGGCCAGTTCCCTGCAGGCCAGTTCCCAGCAGGGGACGCATGAAAGGCAACCATACATTGATGTTTCTCTCCCTCTCTCCTTCCCTTGCCCTCTAAAGATAAATAAATAAAAAATCTTAAAAAAAAAACCCCAGCTACCTCTCCCTGTCTTTATGGATTGTCTTCACTAAGGAGAAATCTTCATCTACCAGCCTCACTAGAGATTCTGGGGGTTTCTCAAACATTTCTGAAATATGTATTCTCTGGGTTTGGGGATGTTATCTCCAGCTGAAGAATTCCACTTTTTTCTTCTCTGGAGCATTCCCAGGGGTCCATCTGTGGTACTGCATTAGCTCTAGAGGTGTAGCTCCGGAGGTTTTCAGAGGAACTTGGGCATCTAAAGTTTGTTAGCTTCTTTTCTGTCAATGACCTGAGTAAGGTAACACAAAAACCAGTGCCTGAGGCAACCCATCATTATCCAAAAGTCAGTTGCATTTTTATATGCCAATAACATACTAACAGAAAAAGAAATAAAAAATTCCACTTACAATTTCCTAAAGAGAATAAAATACCTAGCAATAAGCCTAACCTGTGGTGTAAAAATCCTGTACCTGGAAAATTATAACACTGAAGAAACAAATAGAAGAAGATACAAATAAGTGGAAGTACATACTGTGTTTGTGGATAGGAAGATTTAAAATTACTAAAATGTCTATACTATATGGATATATTCTATAGATTGCTTGCAATGCAATTTCTGTCAATATTTCAATGATGCATTTCACACAATTAGAACTAATATTTCAAAAATTTGTATGGAACCATAAAAGGCCCCACATAGCAACAGTGATTCTGAGAAAGAAGAACAAAGTTGGAGGAATCATGCCACCTAATATCAAACTATACTATATGGCCATTGTAATAAAAAAGCATGGTATTAGCATAAAAACAGACACATAGATAAATGGAACAGGATAGATAGCCCAGAAGTAAATCCATACTTTTATAGTCAACTAATATTTGACAGAGGAAGGAAGCACATACAATCAGCTAAAGATAGTTCATGCAATAAATGATGTTGGGACAATTGGACAGATACATAGAGAAAAATGAAACTAGATACTTTCTTAGGCTAAATTGTCAAAGACTTAAATTTTAGACCTGACACCATAAAAATGATAGAAGAAAACACAGGCAGCAAGATCTTGGGCATTGCTCATAGTAATATTTTATCAGATGTATCTCCCCAGGCAAGGGAAACAAAAAAGAAATAAATGAGACTACATCAAACTAAGAAGTTTTTACACAGCAAAGGAAATCATCAACAAAATAAAAAGATAACACACAGAATGGGAGAACATATTTACTGATACATCTGATAAGAATTTAATCTCCAAAATTTATAAAGAACTTATAAAACTCAACACCAAAAAACAAACAATCCAATTAAAAAATTAGCAAAAAGCCCAAATAGACACTTCTCCAAATATGATGTAGAAATGACCAATAAGCATATGAAAATATGCTTAATATCACTAATCATTGGAGAAATGCAAATAAAAACCACAATAAGATATCATGTCAGCTGATTTCTCAAAAGACACCTTACAGGCAAGAAGGTGCTGGAAAGAAGTATTCCAAGTCATGAAATCCAAAGACCTACATCCAAGATTGGTCTATCCAGCAAAGCTTTCATTTAGAATGGAAGGGCAGATAAACTGCTTCTCAGATAACATCAAGTTCAAAGAGTTCATCATCACCAAGCCCTTATTATATGAAATGTTAAAGGGACTTACCTAAGAAAAAGAAGATAAAAAAGATGAACAGTGAAAGGACAGCAAACTCACAGTTATTAACAACCACACCTAAAACAAAAGCAAACTAAGAGGACAGCTAGATCAGGAGCAGAACCATAGAAATGAAGATCACATGAAGGGTTAGCAACAGGGGGAGTGGGAGAAGGAGAAGGGGGGAGAAGGCACAGAAAATAAGTAGCATAGATAGTAGGTAGAAAATAGATAGGGAGAGGGCAAGAATAGTAGGGGAAATATAGAATCTAAAGAACTTGAGACACGTGGTCATAAACTAAAGGGGGAGTTGTGGGGGATGGGGTGTGCAGGGTGGAGGGGAATGAAGGGGGGAAATAGAATTGTAATGGCATAATTAATAAAATATATTAAAGAAAAGGAAATAAGAAGGGAACAATGGAATAAACAAAATGAGAGTAAAATAAGCTAGAAAAAAACAAAGCAACAAAAATAGAAAAAAAGAAAAAGAAAAATGCTATGAAAAAGAAAAAAATAATGATAATAGTGAAAAAGAACAAAATGGAATTTGGCTCAGCAGAATTTAGTGCTTCCCTGCTGCCTTCTCCTTTTGGATACAGCTCTGATGCTGACTGAGGCTGGTGTAAGCCAATGTCAAGTGCTCTCTCCACATCTAGCCCTAAGCAGCCTATTTAAAGCTACAAGCAACCCACAGTTTGTGGTTGTTTTCTCTGGGCTTGGCTGTGCACAGCAT